AAGATTGCCCTTGCAGATATTCCGTTTTCAGGACTACTTGGGTTGCTCCAGATCACTGGGTAGGTGGCCATCCAGGAGGCAAACTTCTGGAGGTGTTTTGCACTAAGGGGTCTTTGAGGAACATTTGGGCTAAGCTTAGGAAGGAACCACAGGACGTGTTACATAAAGGTAAAGGTTCCCCTCGCGCATGTGTGCCAATCATTTCTGGCTGTAAGGGTTGGTGTTCATCTCTGTTACAAAGCCGAAGAGCCAGCGCTGTCTCCGTGGTCATGTGGCCAGCATGGCTAAATGCTGAAGGCACACAGAACAGCTATTCCCTTCCCACCAAAGAGGTCCCTGTTTTTTCTACTTCCGTAACGCGGCGCTAGGGATTCGAACCACCGAACTGCCGACCTTTCTGGTTGACAAGCTCAGCATTTTAGCCAATGAGCCACTGCGTCCCTCGGACATGTTAGGACCGCTCTATATTGCACTAGTGAGACAACACTTGAAATACTGGGTCCGGTTTTGATCGCCAAGATATAAAAAAGGATATTGAGACTCTGGAAAGAGTGCAGAGAAGAGCAACCAGGATGATTAGGGGACTGGAGGCTAAAGCATACGAAGAACGGTGCAGGAATTGGGTAGGTTTAGTCTAGTGAAAAGAAGGGCTTAGGGATGACGTGATAGCAGTCTTCTAATAACTCAGGGGCTGCCCCAAAGAAGAGGGAGTCAAGATATTCTCCAAAGCTCCTGATGGCAAGACAAGAATCAATGGGTGGAAACTAATGAGGGAGAGAAGCAACTTAGAACTAAGGAGAAATTTCCTGTCAATTAGAACATCAGTGGAATGGTTTGCTTTAAGAAGAGATGGGTGTTGCAACACTGAAAGTTTTTAAGAAGAGATTGGATAACCATTTGCCTGAAGTGGTGTAGTAGGGTCCCTTCCAACTCTGTTATTCTGTTTTGTTAGTTTAATAAAAAGAAGGACTAGGTGTGATATGATAGCAGTCTTCTAATATCAAAGGGGTTGCCCCAAAGAAGAGGGGGACCACCTATTTTTCAAAGCCCCTGAATTCAGGATAAGAAGCAACGGGTGGAAACTAATCTTGTAGAGGAGGAACCTGGGACCAAGGAGAAATTTCCTAACAGTGAGGACAATTGACCAGTGGAACTGCTTGCCACCAGAAGCAGAGAGTCTAGATAGTCCCTTATCTGAAATGGTGTAGGTTCTCCTGCTTGAGCAGGGGGCTGGACTAGAAGACCTCCAAGGTCCCTTCCAGCTCCATATTATTCTAATTTACGTGAGAGGAGGCTAAAACATATGAAGAACGGTTGCAGGAATTGGGTATGTCTAGTCTGGTGAAAAGAAGGACCGGGGGTGACATGAATAGCAGTCTTCCAATATTTGAGGGGCTCCCCCAATGAAGAGGGGGGTCCCAGTGGGAAAGATGAGAAGATGGAGATGATGATGGTGGTGGTGGTGGTGGTGGTGGTGCTGCTACTGATGATGATGAGGAGGAGGAGGAAGAGGAAGAGAAAAGAGGAAAAGGAGAACTGTGGGGTCCTGGATGTTCTCTGGCTTTCTCGAAGACATTTCATGACCCAACTACTTAGCCTCATTAATACTATGGTACAAGAGAAGCGGGTTTGCAGATAGTACTAATAGTAGGAGTAGTAGTAGAACTGTGGGGTCCTAGGTGCTCTCTGATTTTGGTTGTTTTCTTGTAGCCATTTCATGACCCAACTAGGTAACCTCCTCAGTGCTAGAAGAGAGTAAAGTCTGCATTCATTTTATGTTCTGGTGGCTGAGGTAGACATATTCCTGAGCAACCAACCTTCTCAGAAAGGCCACACCTGGAGTACTGCATCCCGTTTTGCTCACCACATTATAAAAAAGATGTTGAGACTCTAGAAAGAGTGTAGAGAAGAGCAACTAGGATGATCTTAGGGGACTTGGAGGCTAAAACATACGACGAACGGTTGTAGGAACTGGGCCTGGCTAGTCTAGGGAAGAGAAGGACCAGGGGAGGCATGATAGCAGTCTTCCAATATTTGAGGGGCTGCCCCAATGAAGAGGGGAGGTCCGCCTATTTTTCAAAACACCTAAAGGCAGGAGTAAAAGCAATGGGTGGAAACTAATCAAGGTGAGAACCAACCTTGAAAGAAGGAGACAATACTTCAAAATAAGAACAATTAACCTGCAATTAACTAATTGCAGGAGACAATTAGTTCGTTTGAAAGTCTGTTCCTTCATTCTTGCCAAGTATTGTCTGCTACAGTGTGGCATCTGAAAGATATCAGCCTGGCAACTCTCCAAGCCTGATAAAGGTCTGTAATTGTGACATATCTTGAAAGACTGTTAATTGGTGCTTTGCCACCAGAAGTGGTGCGTGCTCCATCACTGGAGGTTTTCAAGAAGAGATTAGACAGCCATTTGTCCAGACTGATATAGGGTCACTTGCTTGAGCAGGGGGTTGGACTAGAAGACCTCCAAGGTCCCTTCCAACTCGGTTAATCTGTTAAATGGGAAGAAGATCAGAGAAGGTATCTGAAGATGACCAAGGGACCAATTATGAGGGAAACAGGAGGACCTGGGTATGGAAGAGCCAAAGGACTCTTCCAGTATTCTGTGATTCAGTGAATGGGAGTGAGAGAGAGATTATGATCAATGTATCAGCCAAGCCACGGTGAGCTTGATGGCTCAGTCATGTGCAAATGGCGGCAGTTATCTGTTTGTAATCTCCTGCAGCAGATCTTCCTTCGCTTCAGTTTCAGACTAACATTCGCTGTTCGCTCTCTGTGACTTTCCTCTTCTCTCTTCAGGCTTAATATCGCGGATGGGCAGATCACAGCACATAAGGTGAACTACGTGCCAGGATTCAGAGGAGCTGAAGTAATTTATGGGATTCGCCTGAGCATCGGGGGCTCTCTGTGAGTAGGACCTTTCCAACATCCACGTCTAATACCACTCTGTAAAGCCTTAGTAAGACCACGCCTAGAGTCCTGCATCCAGTTTTGGTCACCACACTACAAAAATGATGTTGAGACTCTAGAAAAAGTGTAGAGAAGAACAACCAGGATGATTAGGGGACTGGAGGCTAAAAGATATGAAGAACGGTTGCAGGACCTGGGCCTGGATAGTCTAGGGAAGAGAAGGACCAGGGGAGACAGGAGAGCAGCCTTCCAATATTTGAGGGGCTGCTACAAAGAGGAGGAAGGGGGTCAAGCTATTCTCCAAGGCATCTTTGAAGGCCAGACAAGGAATAATGGATGGAAACTGATCAAGGAGAGATTCAACCTGGAAATAAGGAGGAATTCCCTGACAGTAAGAATAATCAACTGATGGAAGAGAAATTGCCTTCAGAAGTTGTGGGAGCTTCATCCCTGGAGGCTTTCAAGAAGAGACT